CTGGGAACCACAGCAGGGTTGGATCAAGGGTTGGACTTGATGATCTCAGAGGTCCCTTCCAACCCAGCTGATTCTCTGATTCTATGGCCACCCCCTCACCTCTGTGGTCAGAGCTGCTCCAGGCTGGGTCTGCAGAGCAGATGCTGCACCCACAGTTCTCAGGTCCCACAGGAAGCCGAGGGCAAGGCAGGGGCAGAACTCAAAGCCACGACTGATCATTTGGTGAGCACAGAACATCCTGAGCTAGAAAGGACCCACAGGGATCATCCAGTCCAACTCCTGGCCCTGCACAGACACCCCAACAATCCCACCCTGTCCCTCAGAGCGTTGTCCAAAGCCTCCTGGAGCTCTGGCAGCCTTGGGGCCGTGCCCACTGCCCTGGGGAGCCTGGGCAGTGCCCAAAAACCCTCTGGGAGAAGAACCTTTTCCCGAGATCCAACCTAAACCTGCTCTGGCACAACTTCAGGGCATTCCCTCGGGTCCTGTCGCTGCTCACACTGCCTTCTACCTTTAAAACAACTTTTAAGAACCAAGCATAGTTTATCTTACCAAATTATTCACAGTTCAAAATGAAATGATTTAACCAAACCATTAGATCCCTCCCACAGTAGCTGTCACACAAGCAGTTAAATAATCAGCTGCTGCATAATGTTACTTTTTATGTAAAGAAGCTGATTATTACTTGTTATCCCTATAAACTAAATTGAATTTAAGCAACAACAATAACTAAAAAAAACCCTAAAATTAATTCACAAGACAAGCCAGAAAAGTCCTGAGACTTGCAGCACTATGAGGTCAATTAAAAGCCTTTCAGCAATCATTGCAAAATTGTATTTGCTAGACTCACGGGGCAGAGTTCAGTGCCTGCCCCTCCCCTTCCCCTCCTCTGAGTTAATCCTGCTTTCTGTAGGAATTTCACACTCCAGAATTTTTGCTCCCAATCCCACACACCACACACACACACACGGGCAGAGCTGCGACCACACCTTTATTTGCAGAAGTCCCTCTCAGCCCTTTGTATACAATACAAATGTTTCCATCCAACACAAATGTTTCTATACATCGTATATGCACCCGGAAAACAGGAAAAATCCTGGCTAAGTCCCCCGTATGTATAACATATAAGGAAACTTATCTTTAAAAACATGGGTTTAGACACCCCTTTGTATTCTTGAATACATTTTTAGCTGCATATTTTCATCATATGCTTCGGTGCTGTGGGATCCAAAGTGTCATTTCTGAGGGGTTACCTACAGGGGAGATAGATTTGAAGTGGAAACCACTTCTGAATTGTGTCACTCTCAAGTCTGCTGCCTCTTGAACTGAGGCATTTCAAACACATCAAAAGCTGCCCACGACAACACTTCAGGTTCCTCCCAGATTTTCGAACTTACTGTCTTAAAAAAAATAATAAAAAAAAAAAATCAGAATGCTTTTCAAAACACTCCAGGCTGCTGAACTTGTGGGAAAAATCAGACAAGTAAAGTTATCACACACAGTGTGGAGGGGTTCTGGGTGGGGGTTCCACTCCCAGTGTGCTCGAGGGGATCAGAGTTTAGGGCAGAGCAGAGTTCAGGCAGTAAAACCTCTGCCCAAATCCTGCCCCAAAGGGCCAGATATTCAGCCCTGGGTTAATAAATCAGCTCGTGCCTTTTCCCAGGGAGCAGCCAGGGAATGGATGTCTTTTCTAAGTCATGTTTTTTGCAACAATCAGCCCTTCCAGCTCCCTGAACATTCCCTGCCATCCCAGGAATGCAGGGAGCACTGCCAGCCCAGTCTGGGATGCTGAGCACGGGATGTGCCTGGGAGGGAGAACCACAAAATTCCAACGGGAACAGCTGCTCCCTAAGGCCAAAGGGGCACTGAGGAGCCCCAGAGGGACCCAAGGAAACAGCTCCACAGTCAAACAGCTCCACAGTCAAACAGCTCCACAGTCAAACAGCTCCACAGTCAAACAGCTCCACAGTCAAACAGCTCCACAGT